TATGTAAACTGTTTTGTGGTTATACAGCACTATGTTTTTCTAGAGAAATCTTGAATAAACTTACATCGTCATCTATCTTGTAGCTACATAGCAATGTCCTTAACGTCTTTTTTTCTTTTTTGAATTTTAGGGCAATGTGTATGTGAAGTGCCCATCAATTGCTGCAGCTATTGCTGCTGTCAATGCGTTGCATGGCAGGTGGTTTGCTGGTAAGTTTGGTCTGTTTATCTGAGCGATTGTTAGTAAGAGTCTAAACTAAGTGAAGACACTAATCCACTATATGTGTTTCTTTCAACAGGTAAAATGATAACAGCAGCATATGTACCTCTTCCAACTTACCACAACCTCTTTCCTGATTCTATGACAGCAACACAACTACTGGTTCCAAGTAGACGATGAAGGAAAATATAGTCCCTTATGTACATAGCTTTTTTTCTTTCTTGAGAATTCATCTTGAGTTATCTTTTATTTAGATAAAAATAAAGAGGCAAGGGTCTACTGTCATTTGTATACGATTCCTGTTACTTTGAAAAAATAAAAATGTTAACAGGAATGCAGTGTGCTCATTCTCCCTAACTAGTAACTCCCACTGTATACGAAGTTGTTTTCTTGTTCTGCCTTTTAAATGTACATTTACAAGAATTACATTAAGGATCGGTAGGAATGAATAGCTCTAGGAGAACAAATGTGCTTTCTGTAAAAAGGCAGACAGGAATGTAATGATATTTTAATGTTTCAGAAGCCTAACTTTTTACACAGCAGTTACATTTCACTAATGTTGGTATTTGGCTCATGGATTAATTAGCAAGATAAGTTTTCTGGAATACATACCTAGTGTATGAAAATTCAAGACAGCTAAAGGGCTGTTTAGCATATCACCTTGCATTCTGATTGATTGGCAAGAAAGGGAGATTTTCAAAATATTTCTTGATGGTAACTTTTCAATTAATGTATCTGTAAAAGTTTTTTTGTAAATATTATGTGTTCTGGTGTGTCTAAAGATTCCAAACAAAATGATCCCTGCATTTCCACAAATGTTCAGTGACAGTCTGGTAAGCAAAGCAGTCTGAGCAGGGAATAGGAAATGCAGAAATAGGTTTTGTCTGGTTGCATATAATCTTTGCTCTTTTTAAGCTCTGTGAGCTCTGAAATATATTTTTGGGTTACTTCAGTGTGTTTGACAAGACAGCTTGATATTTCTATCAAAACAATGACTTTCATATTGCAACAATCTTTGTAAGAACCACTCAAATAAAATTCTCTTAAAAAGGCATAAGAAATCTCATTTCTCAAATATTTTAAAGTCATAGAAACTTGAAAATAGAATATTAGTTTCTCTGACTTTCAGTAATCATTCAGTACTTGTCTCTTCGGGAAAACAGTTGTGTACAGAAAGTCTAGTCTGGAAGACTCAGTTTAAGCTGTCCCTGTACACTCCACTTGGCAATAATTTTTTGGAAACTGGTTTAGGTTTTCCTATGATTCAGTGAGATTCAGGGTACAGTCTTTCAACTTTCCTTTTAGGACTGGTATCTGGGTATCCCTATAGCCTAGCGCATTACTTATTTAGGGTAATGTAGAAAAACTGAGCAACTTAACAAAAAGAAAACCACACATTTATTCAGGCCTTAAGCCTGGGCATTGTCTCCTGTGTGGTATGGGCATCTCCGTAAGAAGAAAAGAAAAAACTCTGAACAGAAGTTCAAACTGGGTTCCCAAATTGTTCTAGCTGCATACTACAGGGGATTTTGAGCTTTAATGTTTGGACAGCCAGCCTTCAGTTTCTGTGCCTAGGTTGAATGTTTTAGTAGCCATTTTACTCCTAATGGAATAATTATGGTCTAGTACTGATTTCCTCACCTGGTTATTTCTGTTTCAGCTACTGATTTTGATACTACTGAGGTTTATTTTGATGTCAGTTGTGACTTTTAATCAACTTTGAGTTTGATGAATATTATTTCCTCCCTTAATTGCCTCAATTCTTTAACTTGAAGAAAATCTTCAGGGTTCAAGTTAACTTTATATTTTTCAACTCTGGGTAGCAGTCAGAGACTTGTAGTATGTAAATGTTTCATTTTCTTCCTAAAATACTTCTTGGTAGCTTCCCATTTAAAAATTTTTTTTTTTCTTGCTTGAACCAAATCCCATTAGGTTTGTCTTATTTCTTTCCATGGAAATGGGCCAATAAACATGGACTTCAGTAGACATTACACAAACTGCTTGATCTGTCAAAGGGGAGCCAGAGTTTCCCCCCACACAGAAATGTTTATATTCAAAGGAAATGTTAGAATTTAGTCATTCAAATAGTGTAATGCTCAATTGCCATCCTGAGTGAAGTCCTTAAGCCAACCCGAGAGCATATTTAAGAGGCGATGCAGGTCAGAGCAAAAGCAACTATAGGCCCTTGTTTGGCCTAAGCAGGTGACAGGTACTTGCCTCTTTGCCACAGAACCTACTGCATCAAGCCAATTAATGGGGGTGGGGGTGG